CACACACACACACACACACACACACACACACACACACACACACACACACACACAAATGGAAAAGACAAACAACAAATTAAGGTTTAGCCATTATCTCACTGTGTAAACAATTCAATTCCAAACTGCTTCAAGTGCTCCCTTTTTTTGTTGCCATTTAAATTTGAAGAACTACCCAAAATGTGTCTCTCCTCACAATGTCAGTTGTTTCTTGTTGGATTTTTTGTGAGTAATCCATACAAAGCTCAAATGAGTTTTTTCTCTCTCTTTTATTTCTATTTTATCATATATCAAGTTCTTTGTGAGCTTTCAATTCATCAGGTTAAGCATAAAATGATGGATGAATGATGGAACATCCCAGCAGTCCTGAACAATTTTTCTTTATGAACTACTGTACATTTACACAGTATACAAACACAATAATTTACTCTGAATATTTAGTCTCAAATGGATCTGTTCTTTATGCAGAGAGCACAGCCAAAAGATAAAAGTAACCTTGTAAATGAGATAAGAGTTAAAGTAGGTTCAGATGTGTTACAAGATATATATTTAGGAAACTATTGTAACTAAAAGGCCTGAGCTATTACCTACTGTTTCCATGTCAGTTTAGGTTAACTTCATCTTATTTTGAGAAATGATATGAGTTGTAGGTGTTTTGGTCAAACCTCAAAAATAACATTATGTACATTTTCATGCAGTATTGCAGAGTAAATCGTGTGAATGACCCTCAGCTACTACCACATCAGCTTTCGGCCTTTTATCTGTAAAATTTAATTATGTCCATTTATATGTTGGCTAATGTAGTTTATTTATTACAGGCATTTTTATTAGATTGATATCCAAAGTTATTCCAGTACAGATGAACCTATTTACAACTTTCTGATTGTTTCAACAAATTTGATCCAGTGGTTTATCAGAAATGTTGCTAAAATACAACCAGGGATTGCTCCCACAGTTAATTCTACAGTTTTACGCAAAGAAGTGTAGAACTTAAGAGTATGTGTTAGAAATTACTCTCAGCTTCTACCACAGCAGATTTTAGTTCAAAATCTGCAAAAAACTGATTAAAGTATAACCATTTTGACTTGGGTTGGCTCCAGAAATAATCAGTTAAAGAAGTATATTTACTGACTCTTTCCTGAAACTCCCATTCAAATCAGTCCAATGGTTCAAATGATATTTTGCTAACAAACAGAGATGACTCCAAACACTAATTCATTGTAGATGTACCTCTAATTTTCACTTTCTATGAAGTTTCATTCAAATTTGCACAGCAGTTTGTCAGATATTTTATCAACACAAAGACACACACACAGGCTAAAGCATTATCATCAGCCTTCTTTTGCAAAGTATTTTCCAAATTATTATTAAGAAACATTCTTTGATTTGAATAAATAGTCAATAAAGTTATGCCTCTAACTTCTCTGTGTTCATTCAGTTTACTTGAGACAAATTATTTGTTTTGGTTAGCCACTGAAATGTGTCAAGTGAGGTGAGGGAGAAACTCAGAGACATCTAATCTCACTTCCCTTTTGATGCTGAAACATGTTGAGGCTGGTAGAAGAGAAGGCTTACTTCTTCTTTTAAAACCGAATAAACAATATGAGAAAAAAAGATAAGATCAAATATAACTTAAACATAGTTTAAAAATAGGTTCACGATGAGCAAAAAGAACCAACTTGGTTCATCAGTGTTTAACAGGAATGCACGTGGCATTAGAACAACTTGGAGTTTGTGTGGTTTTAAGATGTGTGTTTCACTTCTTATTTCTGTGAAATCGCCTCGAGCACGCCTGTTCAAATAAAGAATAGACATAATACTGTGCCCATACTGCACTGACTGGTTTGTTCAATTTCAGTGCTTTGATTTTTGAGGAGTTGTGTTTCATGTGGAGCTGCTGAGGGAGTCGTCAAAGCCCTGCAGAGGGCTACATACGATCTGTGAGTGAGTTACATTAGCAACAATCAGCAGGAGCCATCAGGTGGTGGCGCTGCAGCAAAAACATTACAGAACACAGCCAGGTTGCTAATCTGCAAAGCATTAGTCTGTGAAGTTCTGACCTAATCCCCAAGGTATTACAAGATTTTGCTGCATCCTCCAGCTGTTCCCTACCATTGTGTGCCAGAGAACAACTGACTCTTGCTTTCTGCTCCGAGAAGTCTTGCTCAGAACTAATAATAGGAAGCAGGTTATGGCCCTGCACTGGGACCTTTACTGTGTGTGTGTGTGTGTGTGTGTGTGTGTGTGTGTGTGTGTGTGTGTGTG